TAAAGAATTTGGAATTAGACTTTTCAGAGTAAGCTCTAAATAATGTGATCTACAATTCAATTTTCACATCATGAATATTCTTATTATTTTACAATTTTTAAATTTTAATTGACCAACTTTATATACAGTATATCACTTGTTTTAAGTATCTAAAAAAAAGAAAATCGTGCTAATTCATATCACATTCTAATCATAGAATGTTTAGTTTAAAGAATAATTACAATACAATATTGGTAGTAGTAAAATTCTTTACAATAAAATAAATTTACAAAACTTTTTGATCAATTCATAACACCTAAAGAATTACGATAGTTCCTAACAATAGTATTATTACGTATAGATATTTGAATATAGCCATTACCATTGTTATCTTCATTAACTAATTTATTTAAAATTTCCTCTATTTTTTGAAGTTGTGATTTTAATTTTTTAAGCAACATCTATTAAATAAAAATTAGACAAATTATAAAATATGATTTAATGTTGATTTATGTTCATACCTTAATTCCTACCAAAGATTCAAGATAATCAACAGTATGATGTTTAAATTGCATTTTAGATGGTACGCATACGTTTTGTCAATACAAATGATGACGACCTATTAAACTTCCTAGAATGTTATAAATAGTGATCTCTAACTGATTATCTATTTATCGTTATAAATTTAGAATTAAATATAAAATATTTACATTTCATAGAATACTTTATCTAAAATCCTTGCTCCAATAACAAATAAACTATACATTAATTCAAGCAACTATTTTGTTATAAATTTTTTAAATTTATCTTCATAAAAACAAAAAATTCCATTAATTTGATCACATTGTTCTTGTAATTGTTTTCTTTTGTCACTACTAGGATCTGTGCCTGGTTTTTTGGATTCTACTATCAAAAAATAGATAAGATTTTCTTTCATCAAACGTATTCCAATTGCCGCATCAATCTTATGACCTCTTTTAGATTTATCAATATCAAGTAATGTGTCTCCAACCTTCATAAAGTTTTTAACACTAAGATTCATTTCCGACATCATTAAAGAAAGCTCTACATTCTTCTCATTGAAACCTTCATGTAAACCCTGTCTACGGTAGCGAGAGCAAGCTGTTTCAAGTTCTCCACTATATAAAATTCAATTACCAATTTGCAATTATCTATTTCAAGCATTGTAATATTTACCTTAATGTAATAAAATCAGCATCCTCTAGACAAAAATCTTTCATGATAGAAGTAAACATATCATCTGTGTATGTTGATTTATTAATATTAAGGCATTTATCCTCATACTTTCTTTGATACCAAATATGCTTGCTGCAATAAAGACGATTTAAAATAATCATATAAGTTATAAACTATTTACAAGTCACGTACTATGTTCTAAAAAACTTTGTTTCGAATGATATAAATTACTTACAAAAATTTTATTGCTTTAGTACACACTTCTAAATTGTGATTAGAAATCCAACTATCGGTTGGTTTTTCAGCTTCACTATCATTTATTATAGATTCAAAATAGATTCAAGTCTTGCTATCAAAAGTAAATTCTTCAATATTGCTTAGAAACTTAATTAATCTATGAGAAAATATTTTTTTTAGCAATGTATGGTGATTCGCAAAATCTATTATTCCTGATAATAATGGATTCATAGGATTTCTATAGACAAGAGCCGTAAAATTATCATAATCAATAATTGTGGCAAAGATTTGCTAAATATTTTCACCTTCAATAATAACAGAATGAGTTGGTTATCCTACTCCGGTATATAATTTATCAATTAGTTAGTGCTTTAATTACTATCACTATTATATGTAAATTAATACCTTCATTCTTTGAAATTTATTTTTTAAATACTTCAAATATTTCTTTTGCCCAGTAGTTAAAATATTTTTTTTTTCATCTGACCCAAGTGTATTAGCAATTTTTATTAGTAAATCTATTTCATCTTTAGTAGTGCATTAGGAAAATGCACGCTACAAATTCGAATATAGGCATCGAAGCACATCAACTACTATAAATTGAAAAATCAGATTAATATTATTAAGGTTTATTTAATTAAACATCAGCTTGTACATACATTTGCCATCATCTATAACTTCTTGCCATTTAGCAATAGAGTATCTAACCCAAAATAAATTTACTTCAGTGGAGTTTTTTTCATTCTAAATAAAAATAATTATGATATTAACATAATGTCTGGATTCTTGGATCAATCTTTGCAGATTAACATTTATGTTAATTACACCTACTGCAAGCTAATATCATAGATGTCTAATTACACCTAATTTAGACATTATAAATATCGATATATACTTACAACATAGGTGTCTCTAATTACTCCTACCACAGATAGTATAATGTCAATATTAACTTGCTAAACTATAGATGTTATTGCATAAATGTTATTTGTCATAACTTTATCAGAAAATTATCATCATTTGACAGAAAAAATAAAAAATAAAAAATATTCTAACAGACCTCCAAATTTTTATATGTAGCACTCACTATTTTTAGTTTCAGATTATTTGGTTTAAAATTTTTTCTTTTGCGATAGAGTGCATTTATTTCATTACTATATGCTTTAAATAAAAGTGTGCGATAAGATGATTTTAAAAACCAATGTTTCTCAAAATATTTAAAAAAATTTAAAAATGATAATAATTCATCATTATTTTCTTTATAATAATTTGTGAAAATATTTTTAATTTCCTTTTCATCAATCATATGTGTTGAGGAA